TTACCAAACGCCATTTGCATTTCCCCAAAGGGCTTTAGCCTAAAGGTATTTGCATTCCCCCAAGTAGCATTTTCAAAGTTGAACCAAACGCACCCTATATATTAAGTCTCGTCCGCTTTCAAGACATGAATTTAGAAATTCATAGAAGAGATAGCACCACTCACCTGGGAATGCCCCATAACCAAACAACGTGGCTAAACTTGCCGACTATCTTGTAATCCTATCAATTAAACGAGAATTGACGTCAACACCAAGTAAAACACCATTTTCACTAACGACTCGACTAAACCAAGCTTAGACGCTAACCAAAACGACTCAAATGCGCTCACAAATCGCTCATCCAACGCGAAACTTGAACGCGAAATTTGATCGCGCCATAACTTCCTCCATCGAACCCCGTTTTAAGCGAGCTTATAGTCAATAGAAAGCCCATTCATAGCACTACAAGAACCCCAACTTGGCTGACCCAAAAGCGGGACAAAGGCGACGAAAATCGGCATGAAAGCTGCTGGTCGAGCACTGTTCACCAGCCTGCTTAACTTCAAAAATTCGTTTCGGGCAAACGGTAAGTCCAAATAGAGATTCGTAAAATCCCACAACTCCGCGACACCCTAAACTACCAATTCTATATATATACGCAACTCAACGACTCAAAAATCGGACTTCGCCGCTCAAATATCACAAAATTCCGAATTTAAGCCTTAAATCTGAAAACTTCTCCGATCGGACGAACGAGGGGCGCAAGTGCTTACCGAACGTTGCGATACGAAGTCAAATCGGCTAGGCGAGGTCCCACAGCGCAAAATCCTCTCTTCTTCTCCTTCTTCTTCTCTTTCTTCTTCTTCCTTCTCTTTTCCTCTCTCTTTCTTTCTTTTCCTTTCTCGTTTCTCGGTTTTCAGCCAAGTGAGCTCTCGGTCTCTCTTTTAACTGAGACCCCAACTACTCCTTCGTTGACTGAGTCAACACTTTCTTTTTCCTTTTTCCTTTTTTTTTCAAATATTACAGAATCAGACTGTGAGTACCTTGCGAGTAGCTTAGTTCTCAGCATTGTACTTCAGTCCAGGGTAGGGAAAATCTGAGAGTGGCCCCGAAGAAACTGCTTCACTTGAAACTAGAATGTACGACCGGTGACCACAATTTGGCGTAGTAGAGTCTTGAGTATTAACCAATTAATTGACCCTTCAATATTTGGGTTCAAACCAAATGAGTAAATTTTCGGGAGGGGCTATTTTCACCCTTTCAAAAATATTCTCGACATTTTTTTATCTGCAAAAGGACACTACAAGTGCCATAACTTGTGTACAGCGATCACTTTGGTGCCATAACTTTTTTTCGGATCACTTTGGTGCCAAGTCGGAGGAAAAGATATCACTTTAGTGCCAATTTGGCCGGAAATCCGACGTGGCATTTTTTATTAATTTTTTACGCCGACGTGGCTCGCCGGAGGCTGAGTCAGCGTGTACAGTCAGCATTTTTTATTTTAAATAATTTTTTTCAGCGTGTACAGTCAGCATTTTTAATTTTAAATATTTTTTTCCTTTTTTTTCTTTCTTTTTCCTTTTCTTTTCTTTTCTTTTTTTTCTTTTCTCCCTCACGCCGGTTCTGGTCGGTGGCGGCCACCGGCAAAGCCCGGAAGAGGCTGGGCGAGGCGGCCTTGCCCATGGCCGCGAAGGGCGGCCGACCCTCGCCGACGAGGCGAGGCGGCCTCGCCGGCCCAGGCGAAGGCTGCCTCTCCGACGCAGGGCGAGGTCGCCCTCGCCAGATCCGGCGAGGGCGACCCTCGCTGAGTCGGGCGTGGGCGACCTCGGCCGGCGCGGCGGGAGGTCGCCCACGCCCGACTCGAGCGAGGGCGACCCTCGCCGGCGTCGGCGAGGAAGCCTTCGCTGGGCGGGCGAGGGTCGCCCTCGCCGGATCGCGCGAGGCGACCTCGCCGACGTCCGGCCGGCCATGGGCAAGGCCGCCTCGCCCGGCCACTTCCGGCTTCGCCGGGTTGGCCGGCCGGCGAAGGGAGAAAAGAAAAAAAAAAAGAAAAGAAAAAGGAAAGAAAAAAAAAGGAAAAAAAATATTTAAAATTAAAAATGCTGACTGTACATGGTGAAAAAAATTATTTAAAATAAAAAATGCTGACTGTACACGCTGACTCAGCCTCCGGCGAGTCACATCGGCGTCAAAAATTAATAAAAAATTCCACGTCGAATTTCCGGCTAAATTGGCACTAAAGTGATCTCTTTTCCTCCGACTTGACACCAAAGTGATCCGAAAAAAAGTTATGGCACCAAAGTGATCGCCGTACACAAGTTATGACACTTGTAATGTCCTTTTGCCTTTTTTTATCAGTCTTCAAATCCAGCCAACGCCAATAAAAAATTGGTTTCAGAGATGAAATGTATGGCTATGTCTCTTCTGCTTCATAGATTCATGCTTAAATGAATCAAGTTTGAGACTATTTGCCAATTCCATGACATTCGTTTTTTCCACGAAAAAAGTTTCTCTTGCAGTCACCAAATTGTAGCTTGAAGTGGACATCTAAATGGTAATCTTGTTAACAAATTTGATTTTATGCTTAACTTCACATACAGGACAACCTGCACATGCGATCTTCCTGCAAGAATTATGAGATTCGGCCCTTGCTAAACAATAGCACAATGTCGAAGCTTGCAAAGGACTACTACACCACATGAGAAGAGGTCGCTTTATCTCAAGAATCCTATGAAGAGTGTTAACGACACAGAGCACATGATAAACGCCAATAGCAAAGAACTTTGGAATGCCTTTGAATAATGTCTGACAACATAGCTCATTCCTGCCTGCATCTCCATCCTATGGTGTTTAGGGACTTTCTCCGAATTTCATGAAATGCAGCTTCTAATCTACACAAGAAGAATAGGATTAACTAATTATCAATAGATGAAGATATTTGAGATCGTAGCATCACAATTTATGCCATGAAAGATAAGGTACAAATGCTAAACATCATTTGTACCAGTAGCAAAATCTATGAATGTCTTACCAAACATTCCATGTGTTTCTTATTAGTTTGCAGTTGGACCGCAGTCAACAGAGACTTCATTACCTGGCTGATGAAAAAGAAAACGACGACTTGTGAGAAGTAAGCAATTAGCAACACTTTCCTTGTTTGTGTTTAGGAGCAGAATTGATGTTAATAAGATTATGCTAAAAAGATGAAGCGCCTAAACTACATAACAGAAAGATGTACTTGTTACTTGGTTATTTCGCAATATACAATTAGCAAAATCAGCAAAATATGGGATGCTCTGCAAGGAAGCAAATTTCAACTTTACTAATTCAACTCCACATGCATGAGAACTGAGCTTATCAAATCAGAAATCTATACAACAACATTCAAAGTATATTATCGCACTAATAAACTGAGAAAATAAAGAGATTGTCATTATGCACCCTTGTATACTGATTTTCAGGTGAAATTCCACAGCTCATATAGCATAAGCACCTAAGTTACTCTGTCATAGTAATGGTACGACTAGCAGTGCATACCTCCCTCTACAGAGCCTGATCAAGTTCGAGAGTGATGCCATCAGAAAACAACTGCACCAAATAACTCTGCGTCAGTGTAACTTACAGAAAATTCAGCAGCTACGTAACAGAGAGATGGAACCTAATGAGCATCAGAAAGCATATTCAATTGAAAAAACTACATTCACGATCATTCAGGTATGTGCTGTTCAGACCGGATCAAGATCAAAACTTCCTTAGGACACTCCAGTTGGCCCAGGAGACTCTTCAAGGTTGGCACGCAAGATGGCCCTTAGCTGTGGTTGTTGCTTCCTCTGTAAAATCCACTTTCTTCATTTTGATCGGTCTCTGGTATGGAATTTGAAGTTCCTTAGCATCATGTGATAAAATGGTTCCATGACAACAATATGATCAAATGATGCAAACTAATTAGCAAATTATTGAGCTCCTCGCCCCAGCTTGTTTCACAGAACAGGCAAAAAATTGTCCCAATTATGCAAAAGGTCACTGATACAGCTCATTGAATCTTTAGTCCAAATTGATCATTACCTAAACCAACCAGACCCGTCACAAAAGCAGCACCAGTTACCTTGATTGATAATCTTTCAAAATGACAGTCTGACTACTAGTTATAGAAAACTGGTCTACAATCATACATGACAGATTAGCCAAAATTACTTTTTTTTTCAATCACCCACCATATAAACTTGAACCTTGATTTTTATTTTAGCTCAGTTTCTCATACTTACTGGGAATTCATGCTCGAGGGAACAATAAGAAACTTGACAGGGTTTGAAAGGTGTATGTTCTAAACAGGATATCTACCATTAGTCAAATTTTACACATAAAAAGCTCACAAAAGGATATAGAAATGGCCAAGGATAATACTAGTTTGGCACAGAGCAGAAAAAAATGGATCTGGGCGCAGTTACAATTTTGAGCAGCAGAAGATCATCAGCCTCCAGATGAAAAATTTAAATCCTAGGTTTACTATGAGGGAAATTGTAAATCACTTCGTAATTCTTGTTTACCTATGTCAATATTGTCATTTGTTGCCTCACAAGCCGTTAATCTGTCTGGAAAGCAGCCAATCGAAGAATATTTGAGAAAACATTGCTATAATGCAATCAACAGCAGGTATATTTAGGCAATCCAAATCAAATAGATACCCAGTGTCGAGCAAAAAATTCTTTAAAATATAGCTTCGAGAAAAATGTTACTCTATTCGCTCACGTCGGTCGTTAAAGGACGAAGAATCTTACCAGATGACCAACACCTTCTAATGTAATCAGACTCAAATTTGGATTTCCATTTTGATCTTGGCTGAAGCATCATGTCAGCTTCTACGACCAACTTCCCCACTCCAATTATGTAAGACTAGGAAGTTAGGGAAATACAGAAGTAACAGAACCCTGTCAGGGAAATTCTTCTTGTCAAAACAAGATAGTGATGAAAAGTTGTATATGAATCTCGAAAAAAAATGACAGTTCACTTTCTTACCTCTGTTAAGGAAACATGACTTGTCTCACTGTCTCAATATGGGTATAAGAATTATCACGTCATCATTACCGCAACATAATCATTTCACAGAGAATTATCTTTTCATAGAAAAGTTCATATTGACATCCTTCACATTGTCTAAAGACGCTTGTTCCAGGTAATTGCGGTATCTCCAATGAGTCACACCCAGAAATATCCAAATAAATTAAATCCAACTTTTCAAGTCCCCGAATCTGAGTAAGTTTCTTGCAGTCTCTTACCACTAGATATAGTAACTTGTGACATCCCGACAAATCTGGCAAAGTCTCCATTGAGTCGCATCCTGTGATATCTATGTATGTTAGAGATCTTGATTCCTCAATCCCAGGAATTTCTGTAACACCAAGAGAATACCTCATTGTGAATTTTTCCAAATTTTTAAATTTCGACAGGTTTGGTAGTTTTTCTAGGGATTTGCACCCCGTTATGTACATGCTTCGACAAGACAAGAATCTCTCCAGGGTCTCAACACCAAGTAGATTGCCACAGTCATTGATGTTCAACTCTTTCAGGGTTGCAAAGCATGATAGTTCAGGTAATTTTACAATGGACCTACAATCAGAGATATGCAATGCCTCTAAGAACTTCGCCCTTTCAAGACCTTGAATTTCGATTAGATTGTTGCAAGAGTTGGCCTTTAATTGCTTCAAACACTGTAATTCTGGAAGGATCAGTCTATTAATGGACCTGCAATGATATATAACAATCTCCTCCAAGAACTCCAAATGATCATGACCCTGAATTTCAACTAGATTATAGCAATACTTAGCACGTAATCGTTTCAGACGATTTAATTGTGAAAGGTCCAATCTTTCAATGGAACTGCAGCTTTCTATTGACAACTCTTCCAAGTGCTCGAATATGTTGAGCATTGGCAATATCAGCTTATGACAGGAGACAACACAAAGTTTCAAGGACAATGAGGGAAGCTCCGGGATATATTCAAGTAGATCACATCCCTCAAGACCAAGTTCTTCTTGGGGGATTAGGCAAAAATCTTGCGGCAACCTGGGACAATGATGAGAGACCATAAGATATGTTAAGCCTGAAGGAAGCTCTGGCAACCACTGGAGCTTGTGACAGTCCTGTAGCTTAAGGTGTTGGAGAGAAGAAAGACGCGAGATGCTTCCCGGTAGGTCAGATAACGGTGCGCTACTGATTTCAAGAATCTTGAGCGAAGATAAGTCACCGATTTCACTTGGGACTTCTATCAATGACCGACAACCCCTAGCACTCAGTTTCTCCAACTTCCTCAAAGAACCAATCGATGTAGGAATCTCAATAATACCGGTAGAATCTAAAATAAGTTCTTTTAGTTTTACTAATTCGCCCACTTCTCCTGGTAGCTCCTTGAGACTGCCACAGTCACTCAAGTCCAAGAAAATGAGGCTCTTGACTTCACCAATAGAAGGGTCGACTTGCTCTAGTTTATCACAATGTTTCAAGATGAGTATCTCCAACTTTGTGAAAGCCGAGAGATTAGGAGTACGGCTTAAATATTTGCAACATGTAAGGTCAAGAACTTTCAGCCGCTTTGCCAACTATACAAAGGAGAATAATCAGTCAAAAAATGAGTTGATCGACAAAGCAAAACAAACAAGAAATCACAGAGGATGTCTTTTTTCCATCTTACCATGATTGAACTCCATCCTCCCCAAAGTTCTGTGATCTCGTTGTTTGACAACTGCATCACCACTAATTTCGGTAGATGCAAATTCTTTGTCGAAAAAGACAGATTGGGTTCAATGCCAAACCACTGAAGCCATCTTAATTCAGAAAACAATCTGTTAAAGTCTCCACTTAGAGCCGCCCGCCTTAATTTAAGGAACCTTAAGCTCTGTAAGTTCTCAAATTGTTCATTTGTGTATCTCTGGAGATGGTCATCGGATTTGTCGAGACAAATTCCCTTGATCGTATAAGGTCCCTGTATATCAAATCAATCAACTGAGTGTCTAGATTTTTTTGTTTTCGCTTTTCTAAATCTTGGAATCATACAGTTTGTCATCTTTCTAACCTCGTCATATATATACAGACACACGTAAACACACATTTAATTTTTTGACAATCTTTTGAAATTTGAACAAGGTGTTACATTTTGGCTTAAAAGTAAAAAGGAAATAATTCTTGCTATAAAAAATCTAAGACAAACACACCCCAATGTTTTACCTTATGTTTTTAACAATTTTATATCGCATGCGCTTTAACTTTTATCCAAGGCGAAATACATGAAACCTTTTAAAACATACCAACGTGGACTTGTAGAATTTCATATAAATTTTTCTTAATTTTTAAAAGAATACGTTAACGAGTGCCCATGAGTCACTTGTTAAGTAGCTAAGGAATCACCCGGTTATCAATTCATTTGTGAAGTGTTCAATCACTGCTTTGAAAAGCAAAACTTTTCTTGTAGAGTATGTGTAAAAAGCGAGTGGTGACATTCGTTAGCAATACAGTTCTTGGGTTTGAGCGAGGGTCGCGGTAAAGAGTTTGAGATGAAAGAAATGTTTATTAAGAAAAGTTGAAAGGAAAAGGCAGTGCAATGAAAGAAACAAAGAAAGAGATAGGAAAAATCACTCTTTGTCATACACCTAACCTAATCCGCGAGATGAACAAGGTCAACCTGATACAGCCTTACATACAATAATAAGATTTTCTGAATTGGGGATTTTGCTATCGCATCTATTAAGACGAAAGAAGAATGGAAAAAGATAGATATAACTAGTGGAAAAAGATAGACATAACTAGTGGAGGGAGGGACGGCTACCCTCAGGATCAAAATGCAGCAATAACATATCGAACATTGGGGTCCTAAATCATAGGAGCACCGCAGCGAATTTGACCGTACTAGAAAGCAAGCACATGTGATAGCTGTGAATTTGACACCTTAATTTCAATGCTGCTGTTTTGTTTGATTATTAGTTTATTATAATTGGCACCTATTATCTATTATTCTTATGGAAAAAGAAATCTTCATTTGTTTGATCTATGATGTTTAAACTGCATCTCTATTTATTATTTTAGTCTTATCAATCTTTCAAAACTTATAATACAACTAGTTGTCACAATTACTCTATGATGGACATGAATCATCAATGGAATTTTTCCATAAAACTAGGAGCATATGTTCATACCAGATAAAAGATTAGAATAGATCAGATTAAGTATATGAAAATATGTAGGAGAGGGAAAAAAGGAGTGCCATATGTTACCTTTCCTCCCATTAGTACTTTGATGGCATCCTTGTAGAGCAATGATCTGCAAAGTGTCTGGGACGGTCGTTCTTGATTAACAATGTTCCTTCCAAAATCTCTTAATTGACCATGCATCCTTAACTTATCATCTTCATCAATTTCTATCAAGCACCTTAGCTTCAACTCTTCAATTCCTCGACTTGCACAAAACCCACAGTCCTCCCACATGTAAATGGCGAATTTGCTCACTTCGCCAATTAAGAAACATGCAATATCGAGAAAAATCTCCTGATGTTCATCTTTTAATGCACCATAACTTATCCCCAATATTTTTTGGACATCTTCATGTGGTTCTTTCCCTAATTCCATTTGCACATCTTGCCATACTTTTAGATTTCTTTTTCCATACAAGTATGAACCTATTACCTTAAGAGCCAAGGGATGCCCATCCGTGGTGGATACGATAATATGAGAGAAACCCTCAAAGTCCTGAGGAAAACGGTCGTCACGAAATGCATGTCTACTAAATAAAAGCAAAGAATGCGCCTCATCTAGTTTATTCACTTTATGCTCATAGTCCACCCTAAATTCAGATTGATCAAGAATTGCTTTATTTTCAGTTGTGACAATGATAATACTTCCTGGAGTAAACCAGCTACTTTCTCTTGCCAAAAAATATAGTTGATCTCTGTGATCTATATCATCAAGAAGAATGAGAACCTTTTTTCCTTTGAATCTATGTTTGATCAAACTAATTCCATCATCACATGTCCAAACTTGACTCTCGATCTGCAGTATTTCCTTAATTAGTTGATTCTGTAGATAATGAATATCATTGCGATGAGCTTTTTCTCGAATATCGGGAAGGAAGCTACGATGCTCAAAGTCATTCGACAGCTCATTGTAAATGGCCTTGGCAAGAGTTGTTTTACCAATCCCACCCATGCCATAGATTCCAATCATTCGAGCATCACTGGCAGGAGTGTCTACCCATTTCCTTATTTTCATCACATCATCACGAATTCCGACTAAGTGCTTAGTAACATCAAGCTGAAAATCAGGTCGCAACTTGTTCAGAACACTTTTGATAACTTTTTTCACCAGTTCTCCTTCATGCCTGTCAATCAACAAAATCCATGATAACTTCGAGTTATACTTAATCTCATCCAAGAACACCCACATATATGTGAAGGATGGATGGAGCCAATTAACATGGAAGATATTTTGGTTTTACAAATAACGATGGAGAATGATGAAATAGCAGTCATTTTATTTTTTCCCCTACGTTTTCTGCCAACAGACAGATCTTGTTGAAATGAAATAAGGTGGTGCCCCTGGCTCATTAAGAGTCTTTAGAAGTATAATATCTGTTATAAGGTTTAAGGTTGCTGCTAGTTAAAGGACAGGAGGTCGATTTTTTTCGGTTAAAAAATGTTTAGGAGAAAGAGAGGTTACCCCATTCCACGGCCAGGGAATCCCACAAGTCTACATTAAAGGACTTACACACCTACCAGCAGGGCGGTTACTAGCAGGAGGAACTGAACCTAGACACGGTCAATGCGAAGTGTTCGATCCTTACAACTGAGCCAACTCCCGTTAGCAATAGGACTTCGATTTTATCTGGTGGTAATCAAGCTTTGGAAGACTGAGCATTGGAGTCCTTCGTAGGAATATTGTTTAGTGATGGATACTATTGGCTGGACGGGTTGTTGTTTCTTAAACTCGATACAATTGTAAATTCTTGGGCCCTGCGGGATACTTTGGTTTTAGTTGTTGTTGGTTTAGTTTTCAGGGAACATCTTGGGAAGTACTAGTGTTTGTTGTCTTTTGGGCATTATAGTTGTTCATTAGGACATTTTGGAAATGTTTCATGAGCATGTAGTTGAAGAAGTTCATCCATTTTCCATAGGTTTTACGTAAATAAGAAAACTTATCACAAAAGATATATAAAGTTCAGGTGGAAGTGAAGTACCCGTTTGCAATTTTCTCTGATACCCATCCATGTAAGTAACTCACTTCTATAAGTGCTTGTTGCCCTTCCTTGATATCCTTCTCATCGAAGCGCTTCTTATGGGAATGGAAGGCTTTCCCAAATTTTCCCAGTAGATGCCGCACATCCGCTGGGTCCACTTTGTAAAAAATAGGCAACACTATGTGTGACGTGCTCTTCTTGCGGTCCATGATATGAAATAGCTCGCGGAGGCACCATTTGCTCGAGGCATAATTTTCGGAGATGATGGGAATCGAAATCTTAGACTGTGCGATTGCATTGAGAAGCTGTGAACTAAATTTCTCGCCAATTGGGATGTTATCGTCCCTGAACACCCAAATCGGTACAGTCCCTTTATCAAACAATCCATGGTAGAGGTGATCGGCGAATTCATTGCGGGTATCTGAGCCTCTAAAGCTTAAAAACACGTCGTATCGATCGTCACCTTGTCTTGTAGGTTCCGGAGAGATGAACGAAGAAGCTCCCTCGGTAGAGATGAACGAAGGAGCATCAGCGGATGCTCCCTCAGTAGAGATGAACGAAGGAGCGGATGCTCCCTCACTGCTCTCTTTCTTTGCTCTCTTTCTCTTTCTCTTTCTCTGACTTTGTCTTCTGTCCATGCCGATCTGAGGCGGAGAGTTGAAACTAAAGATGCTTTTCTGCTGCTCAAAAGGATTGACGAACCACGAAAGATGCTTCTAGGATGCTTTTCTGCAATTGCTTGTAGTCCTTGCCTTATCTTTTTTTGGATCTCATCCTCTAGTCAAGTCAAACTTGTTGGCTTGGTCCACTCACGTATAACACGAGTACGTTATGTTCTCCCCTTGGAAATGATGAAGAAGGTGAGAGAGAGAGAGAGAGGTAACAGGGATACGGCCTTCAGTTAGGTTGACCCACGTGGTTTGACTACGGAAGATTAGGTGATGGCCCCTAAAGAGGCCCCTGTTCAGAAAGCCACAACAGATTGAAAGAAGTAATTAAACGAAAACATATATTTTACTACTACATAACTTCACACGCATCTATGATGTTTCAAGACAAATTATTTTCGTTCACACCTAAGATATTAAAATTATGTAGAAAAATCCATGAAAGCATCTTCCTCAGGATATAAGCTCACATGACACCTAATCCTTACCATAATCTTCGACCTTACTGTTATTATTTTTAGCCAACTATACAAACAAACCTCACTATCTCCATCACCTCATTTTCCCAACCCTTTTTGTCGAACCCCATTTCCATTGGCCAAACTAAAGTAGTGTCATGTAATTGTTGCCCAATGGACTTCGCCCTTCAGATGCGTGCATTTTCCTAATTGGAGAAAATTTCCATCCATCATGTCTTTAAATGATGGGTTTATAAGTTTTAGACATCACTCATAAGTAAAATTAATCGAGAAAAAACTTTCAATTGTTCGGCTGTTCAAATTATGAAGGAAATTGATGAAAATTATTTTAATTGAAAAGGAAATATTTCCTTTAGGGCCATGAAGGATAATCAAGTCTATCAATGAAATCAAGTTCCATTCACATCATTTTCCAATCGACATGTATCCAAACATATTTTGAGGAATTTTGACTTTCCCTCTCTTATTTTCTCCCATTTCCTTTTTTCACTCGACTAGCTTTGTCTCAACTCGTGCTTGCCTCGACTGTGTGCACTTAGCTGGCGATGTCTAGCAAATTCTTAATGAAGTAGAAAATGAGAGGTAGAGATGACCAAATGGTCATTGTCGTTTCTCTCTTATTTATTCCATGCTGGCCCCACATGCCAAAAATTTCTAATAAATTAGTCTATGATACGATATCATCGAGCTATTCACTTCAAACTTTCAAATTTAAAATATTGATTAATATAATGTCTGCAAATAGAGCTATAATTTGTTAAATGACTCCAAATGAGCAGGTAAAAAGTAGCAATATAATTTCTTTTCGAAAAAGGAGCAATAGAGTTAAAAATACTCAAATCTTCGCATATCAGCTATTGTCGGTTTTGGTTTTGTATGTGAACTGTACTTTTTTATTAACTCATGCAACTTTTTTTTCCTCTTTTTTCAGGTAACTTGACTCCATCAATTTTTAAAGCTCTGAAGGGAGAAATTGCGCTGGAGGTGAAAGGGAATATACCTTTTAGAATTATCTGGTCCAATAATTCGAGGAAGAATACATATTATTTGTTTGGAATGTTCTACAGGGAGGCAAAATTGCCAAATAAAATCAGGTGAAGAAAGTACTTACTTTTATGGATGATTGGTTCCGGTGTGTAGATCCCGAACCAAGATCTTGAAACTTACCCTGTCAAAGCAGGTTCCTTTTTTTTAAATTGAAAATCGAACTGATTGATCCTGGAACCAGCCAAGCACCGTCCTACAACCTTTTCTTTTCTGTTTCATTTTTTCATTTAATTGATCTTAGACCTTCAGAGAGAAACCTCACAATCCATGAAAAGATGGTCCCTGGTTTCAGGCGAGTACTGGTAATTTTGCGCGAGATAGAATCTGGCGTGCTTGCATTCCAACTCATTCTAGTTTAACAAAGGATCAACACTTAATTACGATGCAAACAAGCAATCAGACAGAGAGGCCATATGATTACTGATTAGTCACATCTACAGTCGATAGCAAAGGCTTTCTTTTTTCACGGAAGTCAACCATGAGCTGGTGACCTACCACGTTAGCGGCCACCCACATCCCCAATAGACAAAAAGAGCCCAAAACACACTAGATCAGCCAATTATTCCGATAACAAAGGAAAAAATCAATGGAGACAACGCACTACTGAGAGATGAGAAAGCGATTACCTTGTGCGATCTGAGATGCCAAGAGAGTAACAAGATCGGAGAGAGAAGAACGTAAACAAGCCTAGGTGAGAACTTTCAAGAGGGAACAGATCAAAGAAAACGAGCGAGGACCAATCAGTGGACAATACTCTAAAAAATTGCTGAGAGAGAGGCCTAATGTGAGAGAGAGAGAGAGAGAGAGAGAGAGAGAGAGAGAGAGAGTGAGTGAGAAATGAAAAGAGAGAGGCGTCAATTATATTGTTGATCGACTGGCACGCCTATTGCTGGCATAGATTGGCAGAAATTAATTTGTTCGACTGGCACGCCTATTGCTGGCATAGACTGGCAGAAATTAATTTGTTTTCTTCGATGGAGAGCACATGCTTTCTGACTGGAGAGCACGTGCATCTTGAACGATAAAGAATATCAAAATGTTTATCGTTCAATGTGGGGGGCACATATGAAAATGTTTATGGGTGGAGAGCACAGCCTTTTCATATGTTTATCTTTCAGTGTGTGGGGCACATACGACGAAATATGAAAAGGCTACACAAAAAGATAGTAGATAAACATATGAAAAGGCTGGATGCAGAGCACAAGGTTTCTGGGTGGAGGGCACATGCTTTCTGAACGATTTCCAATGCAATGCACATCTTCTCTTTCCAATAAACGAGAACAAGGTGACTATTGATTTACCTAATACTAAAGGTTACGGATTTGGAGCAGTGCAATGCACATCTTGTCTTTCCAAACTCTAGATGCCACTTTCCCTTGTTGGGGGAAGTTTCCATGGACCCTTTCGTCGGGTTACAACTTACAAGTTATAGATATCGCTCGCATGTAAAATTTAAAGTTACAATGGTGATGCCCATATTTTGTGAGACATTCTAGAATGCATATGAGTTCAATGCATTATCACCCTTACATGATGTGGGTTTTACATGTGATCCACCAATTTAAAGGGTTCAAATGTATTAGGCTCACATGCATCCATGTCATGTAATAATCTCTCCACATTTGCTCCAAGCATGCGGGGGTTCACTGTAAGCATCTAATTGAAAGCAATATACTTTTATCTCCGCCTTCATTGAGTGCCAACCACTGATATTCATTAAATCTAATATCGATTATTAGTATTCAATCGAAAAGGAAAAACTAATAGAAACGGCTCATAAATTTGCAAGTGTTGAATAAGAAATTTTCATTAAAAAATTGAAAACATGAAGAGAGGAAAAGGTAACTCTTTCTCTTTGTTAGTTATATTTAGATTATTTACGATATTCTAGATATTTATAATATTCTGCATATCTCTGTGATTGATTGTAATTGATTTTATAATATCTTGTTACTGTAGATAGTCATCCTATAAAGCCTATAAGTAGACTCATGTAGTCCATATCATTATATATTGAAATACACTGAAAATTCTCCAATTCAATTTTCCATTTTGTTCTTAACTTGGTATCAGAGCTAGATTCCTGAGAAGCGTAATCAACTCTGCTTTGCAGCGCTAGCTGCATAGGTCGCATTGCTCCACCGTGATCATCACAATGCCAACCCTATAGGCTGCGTTCGCTCCACGTAGTCATCATGGCACTAGTGGCCACATTGCTCTCGATTCTCCACCAAGCCGCAACTTCAGTTACTGTGAAAGGCTATTCCCGTTGCTTGTTTTGGCAACTCCTGACTTGTCTGCACCATCCGCGGATTCTCCACCCTTAGTCATTCCCTCTTCTCTCGTTCTTCGTTCCACTCATGTAAGTCAACCTTTCTGTTTGACTTTGTGATTTCCATTGTTATTCTACTATTGTTTATATTCACAAGCCTCGCACATATAGAGAAGCTCAAACAAACCCTCTTTGGTAGCAGGTAATGGCGGAATTTCATACTTTGATATGCATCTTGGAAAGTCTACTATAGGTTGTAGATGGGTGTATAAGATCAAGACTAAGGCAAATAGTACAGTGAAACACTACAAAGCTCGACTAGTACCAAAGGTTTTACTCGAAAGTATGTGATTGACTATGATGAGACATTTCCTCCAGTTGCATGTCTTACTTCTGTTTGAAGTCTTTTTGTTGTTTCAGCTATTAAACAATGGCCTCTATTCGAGATGGATTTTAAATACCTTTCTTAATGGCAATCTTACGGAGGAAGTATATATGGAGTCTCTTCCCGGGTACACTACTGCTTCTAATAAAATATGTCATTTAAGAAGAGCTGTATATGGACTGATATAGGCTCCTCATGCATGGTATTTGAAGTTCAATTCCACCATGGAACGTCTTGGCTTTAGATCCAGTGTCCATGATAATGCTCTAATCATTCAGAAAACATCTCGAGGGTATATTCTACTGCTATTATATGTGAACAACATGGTTATTACTAGTAATGATCATATCGATATTGCAAAGCTCCAGTAGTATCTCAATCAACAGTTTGAAATGAAAGATCTCGGGTGACTTACTTACTTTTTAGGTTTAGAGGTTACCTCAGACTCTTTAGGATATTATCTTTCTCAAGCAGAATACGCTACTAATCTTCTTTCTCGCACGAGACTCACTGATACTAAAATTGTTACAACTCCAATTGAGGCAAATGCCAAATTTGATGACAATGATAGAATTACTCTTTCGAATCTCACACTTTATCGACAGTTGGTTAGCAGTCTTGTATATCTCACTATTACTCATCTTCATATTGCCTATGTCGTTCACATAGTCAATCAGTTCATGACCGCACTGCATACGACTCACTTTACTACTGTCCTTCGTATTTTTCGCTGCGTCAAGGATACATTATTTCATGGTCTTCATTTTTGTGTTGACTCTACTTTAGAGTTGAAGGCTTATTCTGATGTTGATTGGGCTGGTGACCCTCTTGATCGTCGCTCCACTACAGGCTATTGCTTCTTTCTTGGTACCTCACTCATATTATAGCGTAGCAAGAAACAGACTGTTGTCGCTTGATCTAGTAACAAAGCGGAATATCGTGCTCTTACTGATACAACATCAGAACTACTTTGGTTATGTTGGTTATTAGAAGACATGTGAGTTGGTCATAATAGTGGAACAGTCATTTATTGCGATAACCGAAGTGCTATTCAAATAGCCAATCATGTTGATGGTTTCCATGAGTGCACCAAGCAT